TGAGGAGGAGGAGGAGGTTGCTTAGGCCGCGTGGGAGTGCGGGCGTACGGCGGAGTTGACGCGAGTGGGGAGAGGACTCCGATTGACTTTTTCCGGCGAGGTGGGTTTTTTTTCTTCCTTTTTTACGAGGGGAGATCCCGCGTTGGCGCGGTGGAAGGAAGGAGCTGTCCCTGGCAACGGCGACTAGCTGTGCTCTGCTCTGGCTCGGCCTGCTTCCGTTGTCACCGTCGGCGCATAGTAAACGGACCGGGACAGGAAGGGTGCGGGTGGTGGTACATCTTCTCTTTCCCCAAAATAAAAGCATGCTAGTCCGTACCCAAACCGCCCAAGAGGAGAGGGAGGGTAACGTGATCACACCGAGACGCGTTCTGTCGTTAACAGATCCGAATTCGAGCCCATGGGGCAAAAACAACAAATTTGACCTGTGGACGAAAAAAATTCACAAAATGAACTGTTGGCGAAAAAATTTCATCTGGCAGACCCTTTTGTGTAGTCGTCGCTAGGTGGTCTACGAATCTGGATGTAATTTTTATTTCTGGTATTCGTTATACTGCCATGATTGAAGATGAATAGATTGAATTTTTTTTAAAAAAAAAAACGATATGTCAGTTTTGCCAGCCCATGGATATCTGAATTCATGTGATGTGATGGGATTGCATATTCAAACCACGGCTTCATCAACCTTAGAGCAACTCTAACTCATCCCACATTATTATTATTTCTAAAAAACCGTCACTAACATTCAGCTTTTTAGCGTTCCCGAGCTTTGGGCAAGTCGGATCCTGTGCTCGAATCCTAGAGCATTCGCTCGGCCCTTTGGTTCAAAAAGCCCCTCCTCCACCCGAAAATTGAGATGTCTTCTCTTGATCCTAATTCTAACTTTTTCTACGGGACGAAGTTCCGCTTCCCAACTGCCACATATCCTCACCGTTATAGTCGCAGGCGACGACATCTCTAGGGTAGTATTCGTCGCAACGCTGCTGGCTTCGGCTCGTGGCGGCCCACTCCTAATTCAGTTCCCGTGATGTGTTAAGAGTTAGAGAATGCAATCATGAACACTAGTTTTGATGTAGTCTGTCCCTGGTGATATTCACGTGCTCTCGTAATCCAATTTTCTGAAAAGTCACATTTAAATGTTTCAAAACATTCAGATTCTTTTTTCTGAATATTCAGAGGACATGTGCCTACAAACCGTAAAAATTCAAAACAAACATTGACAAAACCAAAAAGACAAATCCAGATGCTTTGTCTTTTTTTGATATTTTTAATGCTAGATTTGTCTTTTTTGTTTCCCAACATGTTTTTTGAATTTTCGTCTGAAACTTCTAGATGTTATAGACTCATGTTTTGTGAACATTAACAATATTTTACTGATTTTTTTAGAAACATTCAAATGTGACTTTTCAAAATTTGGAAGGAAGCATGTTAAGTGTGGCATCACCTAATATCTGCCCCATCAGAGCAGTAGCAAGGGAGGGCACCGAGCAGTAGCAATCACGGTAGCACCTGCGGGCTGCGGCAGCTGGACCAGACGGCCATGTCCTCCTCGGCAGTGGAGGTCGGAGTAGCAGGTGAGTAGAAATGTGGACAATTAAGTTCAAGACAATGGGAACTGACTAGGATCGGAGGCAAGATAATAAAGGCACTATAAAAAGATAGATAATAACGGCTACCAATAACACACTGATTGTAAAAGCAACAAATAGCACTCATTCACAAACGGTGTGCTTAACCCACGATTTCTCAGAAGTTGAAGTAGATCTTATTAAATTCTCAGATTGTTGGGTGGAGTGGCGAATCCCGTGACCAACCAAAAACAGTATTTTCTCTCCCATAGCAACCAGTTGAAATCTCGGTTGCTGTTTACCTGCAGATCCGTGAGGCTGAACCCAACTATATGCAAGTCATCATCTTCACAGTAAGTTATCCTTACGAATTACTGGTGGTTCTATCGAGGTCTGCCAAGAGGGGCGCAAGAATGGCCGTCTTGCCTTCTGATCTATACATGCCGCACTGCTACAGAGTAACTGAGATACTCGAAGTTCCTGCCTGAACTGGAATACCCATCTCAACACGCAAAAAAGTCGTCAAGTGTGTTCCCGACTAATGCCGTGCTTCTTCTTCATCATCTTCATTGTTTTCCTCGGCTTGAGACCCCAGCTTCACGATGTCTTCCACACGGATCTTTCCTTCTGCAAACACAAGAAATTGTCAGAAACAGTGGGGAAAACTGGACATGTGGTACCATGAGCAGAAAAGAATGTCACAAGCACAAGGACCTTTGTCTTTAGAAAGCTTGCTGATAAGCTCTTGGACGCCTTCTTTCCCTATGGTGTCCTTGAGATAAGCTGCCGCCGCTGCTACTTCCTCAGGAGTCACTTTGCCATCATGATCCCTGCAAATGAGGTACAAACGATATCAGTATGCTGACAAAACATGCTCCAAGTACAGCCAAACATTTTGGTCTATAATAGAATACTCCCTCCGATCCATATTAATTGTCAGTAAAACGGATGTATCTAGACGAGTGACAACTAATATGGATCGGAAGGAGTACTATATATTGCATTGAATATCAATATTCCTTTATCATGTCACATAAGTAAGCACCGGGGAACTCATGCAGTATCCGAGTAACTAAACTGTAGAATGAATCTGAGATAGGAATATTTCTCACATATCTTCCAGAAGTTGAGCCATATAGATTAGCTCATCAATGTTATAACTTTGACTTACCACACAGACTAATGTTGCACCCATACTTCACATGGTCGTTACACAGCCAATGAGTATGGAGCACGAAAAGGAGATTTGGAGGATTAAACAACAAAGAGAAACATGATCGACAGAGCAGCAGTTCATCCCCCAACAAAATAAGGGCAAGTTAACCTTCCGCGTGTAGACACACAGGGATGACCACCTGTTAGCGTCAGCGGGGAGTAGAGATAGCTTTCTATTTGTCTCTGTTATCAGTCACGGTAATGGGGTAATTACTGAGAGAAGTAGAGTCCATTATTCTACATCTGCCTCTGTAGTTATTGCTTAAAAGTAGTTAGTTGTATATTGCAAAATCGGCATTTTTCTATAAAGTGTCAACATATCTGCACCAGAGCAGCATATAAATCACAAGAACAGATATCGAAGAATGGCGATGGACAACTAAACTACCACTTAGGGGTAGGTGGTACACCTTATCACTGATACGGCTCAATCCCTACAGGTCAACAGGAAACTAAGTACTACCAAAACAATCGCTTTCAGTTTGATCGGATTGGGTCTTAGCCCTCCCACCTAAACAAACCCTAATGAAGGTCAAACTCCTAGAGGAAATTCACCAGCAGCACAATGCACTAGCTGACTGGCATGCAATATAAAACGACTGATACACATGCAATTGACGTACCTATCAAGCAGTTGCCAGCGGTTTCCGATTTGTGCATCCACATCATCAATCTCCTTTTCTAGTTCCTGAAGCATAGCATCAACCTAAAACACAGCAAAAAGTATATGTCAACAACTAACCCATAAATTATAACAATGTATAGATGACCAACATCAATGGTAGCTCCACCAAAGAAATCTCTCCAACTAAGACTTCGGGGGTGGCGACTGTAGGCATAGAGATCAGTCATAAAGCCACACGGTGTAACTTTGTTAACAAGAGCAACCAGGACCCTTATACTTCTAATGCTGACATGCTATACCTCAATCATTCTTTTTTTTAGGCTAAAGAGAGAATTTGCTGCATCAAGAAAGAATTGTTATAAGTGCACAAGGAGGAGCTTGTGCCAGCGACCAAGCATAAGTGCCTAGAGCTAACTTGTGAGCAACTCTCAATCGTATACTTCAATGTAAACTAACACAGTACCCTTGTAGTATAACTCTGCTGATGCTAGTTCAGCATTTTGTTCCACATGAACACGTAACGTAAAGGTGGAAATGCAATCAAGCAGGTGTCAACAGTATATGCAGGCCAGGACCGAGTGAAAGTTGACTAATTCAGGATGCAGTTTATGATGAAGAGATCCATTCATACTGTCTAATTTAGGATACAGTTTATGATGAAGAAATCCGTTTGTTCTGTTTAGTATCTCCAACTAACAACGGAAAGAAACTAAACTAGGTCTAGTAGACTACTAGGCCGAAAACTGGTACCACGTACTATCACAGGGTTACCGGAAAAGCTGGGTATAAGGCCAAATAAAAGGCCAATTAACCCATATGGTCGCTACAAAGTAGAAACCCGTGGGTAACAGTTACCTTGTATCACATAACTTGCCAACAGCAGGCAATCAAACAATACTTATTTCCATAAATGTTGAGAAGTATTTAAGATGTTACCATACCCTAAGAACGAAGGAAAAGGTAAATCATTATCTGACAAGATTGTGCCCAAGTAATTTAACCGTTTCAGCTTCTCAAGCTAGTCATCGGTAACCGACAGAAGTCAGGGAAAAGCGATCACCTTAAACAGCGAACCAGAGAAATATATAGTGTACCAATAGAACCAGAATGTTACGAGCTTTGACTTTTCATGCATGGAAGAAATATATACCTTGTCAATCAGCGCTGACGAGACCTTTTCCTCTGAAGCAACCTCTGTGGTGTCGCCTGACTCCTCTCTAGCAGCCATATATGCCTTCTTAGCTTCTTCTGCCCCATCTGTGTCTTCTCTTTCAAGCATGGAGTTATATAGTTTTATCTGCATTCCTCAACAATTAAGTCCTACTGAGCCTCCACAGTAAAACAGTTCATACATGCAACAAACAAACAAAAT